TCTTTAATTATAGTATCTGGCAGGAGTTTACAGATTAAGAACTTCTAATATGAAGAAAACGGGACTCCATAAATCCATTGTTCTTAAGGGCAAGTTTGAGAGGTTGACTTTGTGTTATGCGAGGGAACGGGGAGAAACTTGGTGTGAACAAGTCTGTAATCTTTTCAAAACAGGTTTTTTGGTGCCATCACCACTTGAGCAGTCTTCACATTATTCAACGTATATCGACTGCGATAATTGTAGGATTGCTTTAGTGGCATTCAGATACTTCATCCCAGAGAAGAGTTCAAGATCAGGCAAGTACCAATAAATTGCGTTGGAGACTTGNGATCAGGCAAGTACCAATAAATTGCATTGGAGACATTTCAATAAGATTGAGTCATGTTGAACATCCTTGTCTAAAAGCTTAAGGTTAAACAGGGGACACTAGCATAAAAAGTAGTTCACTTATGAGTAAATTAGTAAGTTGTGAAAAACAATCAAAGTTGAAAATAAGTTATTTGATCGTAAAATAAGAGTAACTTCCGAATAATTAACTTTTTTAGCAAAAAAGTAAGAAAAAAAAAACATATCCTAACGTGCTTGGAAATAAAAGTGACTTTTACTTTTTATAAAGGTCTTAGTAGAACATGGTCTTAGTTTTCAACATACTCACTCACGAGCAGGCATAATTCATTTCTTCATCAAAGGATGCAATATGCACATTTTTCATAAATGATGGTGCAAAACTTGAGCATAGTGTTTTTGCGTGCTTTGACATTACGTTGAACCACCTTAAAAACTTAAGCTATTTGAGAAGGGATATATTTATTTAATTAATTTTAGTCTTTAAAAACAACTATATATGTTGTCCCAAAATTTGTTGAATTTTGATATGTGAAAATTGCAGGAAGGTCTATTGTTCTTTATTTCAGATTTTTTGGGTTTTCTTTCCTCTATTTACAGCCGTCCACACATTCCTACAAGAAAGGCAATGTTAGCTAAGGAGAGATCAGTGGATATGTATAAACTCAGCGCTTATTTAGTAGCAAGAAACACTAGTGATCTTCCTTTGGATCTCGTTTTGCCTATCGTATTATTGGTTGTGGTCTATTTTATGGCGAATTTGAAGATGACTTTCACTGCCTCTTTGTTAACGTCACTCACTGTTTTTCTCAGTATAATTGCTGCTCAGGTAATTTTTATTTTTATCAGCCATCTGTTATCTTTAGTTCATGTTGCTACAATGCACAGGATAGGACTAACTAGCATAATCGATAAGATTTTTGTTTATTTTAATGTTGTCTAGTGCAATCCAGTCTTCCCAATAGAGCACAGCAGTAATGTCACTTTGAATGTTTCGGGGTTTAGGACTGGCCATAGGAGCAGCATTCATGGAAGTGAAAAAAGCAACGAGTCTGGCTTCGGTTACTGTTATGGCATTTATGTTGTCGGTTTCTTTATTCAGTTATATATGATGGTCTAATTTGATAATGGAGGATTGCTTTTATATGGAGCCTCTTATGAATTTCCCCACTGCTACTTGGAAATTTTTTTAAAAATTCATTTTTCACTAATCAGAGTGAAAAAGCACAATTACAAAATGTTTGGTCTAAAATGCAAATTTTTACCCAGGGCCGCAGCTGCCTTAATAGTCAGGAGCTTCCAAGTAAAGGGACCTTATTGTGGATAGGGAGATGTGGAGACGGGAGGCGGCATGCATACTTGAATTATTTCGAAAAAGAGGCAAATTTCTCAAAATTTTAAAATCTGTCACCAGTCTAAATGTGCAAGAATCTTTATATGCTGTCGACAAATTTCCTCATGTCTATGGAAACGTACTATTAACATAAAAAATCCGTGAACGCTCTAAATGTGCAAGAATCTCTATATGCTGGTGCTTTGTGACTTCACCCGGGAGATAATAACATAGTTACTAAATCATAGCTATGAATGTATCCTAATACAATTGTTCATATGATATGACTGCTCAGACGAGTTTGTGTATATGCATATGGTGCAGAAAGTACCAGCATTCATGTCGTGGATTCGGTACATCTCCTTGAACTATCATACATACAGGTTGCTCCTGCAGATTCAGTAAAGTTGCAATGAAGGGGCATCTGGACCAGTTATCTGTGACTCTCCATTCATTAAGGGGCAAAGGCTTAATCGGGGTGGAACCGAAGTTGGAGCATTGTTTATGATGATTATTGGGTACCGGATACTTACCTATATATTCCTATGAAGAATGAAATTAAGGAAAATAAAATAATAATCAGTCATTAGTGATTTCAGAATTGTCATCTAGATGTGACTGATTTTCATCTTCACTTCATTAATTCTTCCTTAACAAGATAATGTGTGTTTTCATCTTATGCTTTTCTTTAAACATAAATGGGTTTATTTTGTAAACCATTTCTTTTTTTAATTTTCTGTAATAGCCAAATACATGAATCTGATTTATTAGGTTCTTTTTTTCCTCTCTCTCTCTCTCTCTCTCTCTCTCTCCAAATCCTGGAGTTCTTTGTCAGATACATTCACAAATGCCACGAAATAATTAACAAAACAGACGGCCGAATGTATCAGAGCTGCCTACAAAACACAAATATACAAGGCTTCATTTGCAAATGCAACACAAAATTGGAAATAAATACACCAGGCTTTGTTTAATCAGTCATCTCTATGACTTTATTATTGTATCCTCCACGCCCTGTTGTAGTGTGTTCATTCTCGCTATTGTATCCTCCACGTCCATTTGTACTATATTCATTCGTGCTATTGTACCCTCCATGTCTAGTTGTATTGTATCCACTCTCAAAAAGCCTTCTATTGTATCCTCCACGTCCATTTGTATTGTATTCATTCTCGCTATTGTATCCACTACCACCATTTGTACTGTATCCACTCTCAAGAAGCCTTCTTCCTTCGACAATATAATGGAAGAAAGTTTCTTGGTATTTTAATTTTCTTTCATTATTGCCATAAGAACATCAATAAAAGATTAAGATTCTCATGGTCCAGCTTCTTTTTCAATTCATACAAAAAATCTAATCTACAATAATGGAGTTATAGATTCAAAGATTTGTGATTATTAGTTGAACTATGTTGTATAAAAATTTAAGCTTCCAAAAGGCGAACACGTCAATTTATTTAACTTTCATTTTCAACACTTATCTCTACTAAAATTTCATTTTTTACATAAAAAATGTGACGTGCACAAATTTCATAAAATGGGTGGCGATAAAATTTGAACTCATCTGCTACAATACAATGTTAAATAAGCTACCTCCTCTAAAAGCTTAAACTTTAACATGAGGTGATTGAACTTATTTATGTTTTATATCGAAAGGTAATGCCAAAAACACTGGATAAGACTCAACACTATAAAATAAACTAGAATCTTGTTTACGATAGTGTTTAGTCTTATTTAATACTGCTTACAAAACACGCAATTATAGTCGAACTACATCTGAAAGAATGATAAATATATCTTCATTTTGAATAAGAACTTTGTGCTAACCAAGTGGAAGCTGTGGGTTTGCATCAGAAGTGCAGCCATCGCCATTTGGGATGATATGATAAGCAATATTGCCATGTAAATGGCCATCAGAAATACTTGACTTGCATTAAGGAATGCCGTTAATGCCTATATATGAGATAATATGTGTTTTGCAAAGATGAGTGAGAAGAGTAATGAGTGTGAAGAGTAAGGGTGTCGCCCTCGAATGTCATAATTGTTGAGTTTAATGCCAAAGAAAATTTATTTTACAAACAAAACACTTATAATTTAATTGATGTGGGACACAATACAGTAATACCTCTCTCTAATTAGCCCGAGTGCTCACTCACTGCACCTCACACTTAGAGTGTGTTTGATTGACTTTATTTTTTCATGAAAGATTACATTTTTCACCTAAATTCATACTTTTTGGAGTATTTGATTGACAATTTTTTTCATGAAAAATATTTTCGAACTTTTTGTCACATAAATTATATTTTCCTAAAAATAAGGCAAATATTTGGTTTTTTATTTTCTAGATAATTCACTCTCTTTCTTTCTCTCATCTATCCACTAATAAAAAATTGACAAGTATAATATTTTCTAGGTTGAAAACTAAATCAATCAAATATATTTAATTAATAAATTTCATACAAATAAGTTTTAGACAATTGAATTGCCTATAAATTATTTTCTTTTCATGCAAATTCTATACTCGCAATCAAACGCACCCTTAGTTTTATTACTCTACTCACTACGTCTCTAACTTCTCCTTCTCACTTCTTACTCATCATTAGTTGAGTTTAGTACAAAATGTAGCAGGAGAGAACTTGAAGTTGATTTTTTATTCCTTTGTTATTTTTAAAGAAATTTCTTAGGTAAGAAATTTTGTTAATTAATAGCTACGTAGCAAATCCGGGGATGACTAAATCAATTCAAAGATGATGTATTAATGAAGACAGCTTTCCAATACAGATTTTTTTCCTCTCTTTTTTATTGGTTTTGTTTCTTTTTTACCTTTTAACTTATCAATTCTACCCTTCATCTAAGCTGCACGGCAACAAAAATAGAAAATGTGACACAACACGACATAACAAGCGAAAATTCAGACAAAAATGTGTACATGTGTGGACAAATATGTGAAGAAAAAGCAATAACATAGGAAATTGGCTAGCAAAATGAATTACTGATATCTTTGTAGTTCAATCCGGGCCAGAAGTCCGAATAATTAAGAGAATAAGTGATTAAAGACCTTAGCTGAATGATCATCAGCCCACTAATTAGCCTAACCCTGCCTTAAGTGCTTATCTAACTCGTGTCTTAATGATATTAAGACAAAGAGCTTAATCTGGGATTTTTAGACTTTTTCCAACGATGAAAACAAAACTTGAAAATAAGATGATTAACATATATAGCATCAGGGCTAGGTAAAAAAACCTAAGTTCAGGTTTAGTGAGTCTAAAACTGTTGTCCCCATCTCAATATTTTCTTGGCTTTCAATTAAATTTTAACATATCACTGTAATTTTGAAGTGTCAAGATTTTAGTTGGACATAGGTCAGACCGGATGAAGAACATTGAAAAACTATGACTCACTCAGATTTTAACATTTCAAAATTATAGTGACGTGTCAAAATTTAATAGCAAAATAGCCAAGGAAAAAACTGAGATGGAAACTGCTTTGAAAATGACTGAAAACACCCACATGCATGATCTGTATTGTTGGTGTAAGTTTCCAGTCTCTACAAATAAGTGACCGCGCCTTGATATTTCTTGGCACTATTAGGGAAATTTAACAGTTGTGTACAACTGGGAGAGTGGGAGTGCAATACCATCCATTAGCCTTTACTATATGCCCGGTAAAGTAGGAGAGTCACAAATTCATTTCCTAGTTTTGCAATGAATTTTCTGTACAATTTAATGAGTAATCACTATCAACCCATACAACAAAACCTACATGACGACACAGCGTCGTCTTTATTGAATTACGACTATGTCCATAATAGGAGTCTTGGATCGATGAGCTCTAATAAGATTGTCACATCAGCTGATTCAAGTGACCTATCTTCCATGTTAAACGAATTTGATCCATGCAATTCAATACACTTAGCTTAATTATCTCGCATGTTATACGTAATCCAGCTTGAGCCACATTCAGTTTGGCACATTTGGTCACTAGGGCATTGGAGAATTTTTCAAGCCTAATTTATTGGCTTACATAGTTTTGGTCTGACACGATATGAGTCGGACTAGTCGACAATGTCGGGCCATAAAAATTCTACATAACTTGTCACATGACGAAGAAAAATGAATCACACTCTTAGGCTAGACATGTCCAAATAATATCAAAGAAAAAAATATTTATGAATTCACATCGAAATGCTTATAAAATTGCATAAGCAACTTTAAGAAATTCCTTTCAGCAATTGCTTGATCTTCTAATGGTCGACAACAACAAACATTGATGAATTTATTATTATCGTCATCTAAAGTTTAGAATTTCCGAAGTTTGACATTCTTTGTGATTTCTTATACTTCGAATATACATAGGTTGACTTTCTTTGTGATTACTTATACTTCGAATATACATAGGTTGACTTTTAAAAGTAAGCA